TGGAAGCTCTTTATCTTTCCATCCATTCTGAATGGCAGGCTTGCTGGATAAAGGATTCTTGGCTGCCTGTTCTTCTCATTTATTACCCTGACTATATCATGCCAACCCTTTCTGGCCTGCCAGGTTTCTGTGGATAGGTCTAATGTTATTCTGATTTTCCTCCCTCCATACATAATGAACCTCCTCTCCCTAGCTACTCTAAGGATAGCTTGTTTTTTGGGTTTTTTTTTTTTTGTCTCTAAGATTTGCAAGCTTCACTATTATATGTTATGGTTTGATCTATTTTTTATTGATTTTGCAATTGGTCCTCTCTGCCTCTTGCACATGAATGCTTGTTTCCTTCCCCAGATCAGGGAAGTTTTAAGGGATGATTTGCTCAAATATAATTTCTAGCCCTCTCTCTTTCCACCCTGTCTGGGATCCTGATAATTCAGACATTGTTTCATTTCAAGGCCTCATTAAATTCTCAAAGCCTTTCTTCCCCAGCTATTAGTTGAATTTCTCTCTTTTCCTCAACTTCTTTTCCACCAGCCTGTGTTCTAGGTCACTTATTCTCTCTTCTGCCTCATTGGCCCTAGCTGTTAAAGCATCCAATTTAGACTGCATCTCATTCATAACATTTTTAAGTTTGGCTTTATTAGATCTCATTTCTGCCCTTAGCAATTCTGTATTGTCATCTATGCTTTTTTTCAAGCCTAGCTATTAACTTTATAATTGCCATCCTGAAATCTATCTCTGACATCTTGCTTATATCCATATCGATTAGCTCTGTGGCTGGGAACATTGTCTCTGGTTCCTTTCTTTGTTGTGATTTCCTCCTTCCAGTTATTCTGCCCATGGAAGGACGGGCAAGCCAATGAACCCAATCCAAAATATTAACCACGACTGAAGAAAAATACACCCTAGAAAAAATCAAAAGTAGTTGGAAGCCATAAAAAAAGCACACAAAGCCCAAATGCAACAAAACTGTACATGAAAAAGAAAGAGTGGGGGGAAGAGAGACTATAATCTCACAGGGTGGACAAAGCAGGGTGGCCTGCTTGTTCTTGATTGAGTTTTGGGATTTTTGTTAGAAGACACTACATCCCAAAATTGCAAAGAAAGCAACATTTATATTTATATAGAAATAAATTGAATAGAGAGAAAAAAGGACTAGACTGAATCATACATCTTTAAAATGTAGATGTGAAAAAATAAAAGTTAAAAAGTGACTTAAAAACATAAGCTGGTAAAATAAAGATCTAATTGAAATGGGGAAAAGATAAAGAAAATAATGAAAAATTTTAAATTGAAGGATAAATGAGTCATGAGGGAACACCTGTAGCTCAGTGTATTATTTTCTCCTGGTGCTGGAGTGTTACAATCTCCTGGGATCCATAAGCTTGTCATTCACCTGTTCTTCCAGTGTGTTTTCTGGGGGGAGGTGGTGAGGGTTGCTGTGCTGTTTTTCAGGTATCTTTGCCTGGAAGGAGTTGCTTCACCCCTTGTCAGGGAGATGAGCTTAATGTATGCTGGCCCCTTGTGTGGCCTTTGTTCCCTGGTGCTTTCTGTGCTCTTCAGAGGGATAGAGCAAAAATGGCCATGACTGGATCTCCAACCCAGAGCTGCAAGATCTGGGTCCCCCCTCTTCAATAAACTCGATGGGTCAAACTGTCTCCACTTCTGGGTGCACCAAGCTCCCCAGAAACTCATGGGTCAGGCTAACTGCAATTCTCCTGGTGGGATTCCCAGGACTCATGAGTGTCTCTGTGCTTTATGTCTTCGGGACTGAAGGTTTGTGGGCTCACGTGCAGAACCCACTCTGCAGCTCCCAGGTCATGGCTGGGTGTCACCTTTACTGTCCTTTCCAGGGGCACTGACACCCTGAGAGCTTTTGCCCAGTCTTGGGCACAATTGTTTTGTCCCCACCAGGGGATGCTACCTGGCCTGCACATTCTAGTCATTTGCCAGGTGCTCAGGCAAAGAGCAATCTCCCTACCAACCTGGCTCGTGGTTTATGGCAACCAAAGCTGAGAATCTTTCCTGGGATCCCTGACCATAACCAGTTTCCCTGATTCACTGTTTGGGCACTCTAACAGTTCAGGCACCACGGTACTTTCCATATCTCCTAGGGATTTTGTCTGAGTCAGAAGAGATTCCTGAGACTACAGGGACCCACCTAGAATTCTGCCTTTTCCATCCCCTGCACCCCTTTCAGAAAGGGATATCTCTCACTGGAACATATTTCTAAGGGTTCCAATTTTGCTCTTCAGTTGTTATATCACTTTCCAGTCGCCAGCTCATGGAGGCTCCCTCCCGTCTCCATTTTTCTTCCAATATTTTCCTGCAGACTCATGACTCCCCACCTCCTACATTGCAAAAAGCAGTCATTTTTTCTGCTTGTAGAGTTCCACATATATTTTTTACATCTCAGGCTAAACTTGTGGGTGTTCAGAATGGTTTGATAGATATCCAGCTAAATTCGAAGGACCAGATGAAGGGTGGTCCCCTACTCTTCCACGATTTTGCCTCCCTCCCCCCTTGATAGCATTCCTAATCACATTTTTGGATACCTCTACTCAACCTAGGATAACAAAACAAAAATAAATAAATAAATAGCACTGAGTGTTATACGCAACTAATGAATCATTGAACACTACATCAAAAACTAATGCTGTACTATATGTTGGCTAACTGAACATAATATAAATCAAACAATCAATCAATAAATTAGACCACACTATATTTGCACAGAAAAGGAAACAACCAACACAACAAAGAGGCAGCCTATTGAATTGAAGAAGATATTCTTAAATGACATATCCAATAACAGATCCAAATACATACAAATATAAGGAAAAAACTCATGCTAGTCAAATTCATAGGAAAAAAGTAGGAATCAAAAATGTGCAGAGAACCTGGATAGACATTTTTCCAAAGAAGACATACAGGTGGCCTACAGCACATGAAAAAGAAGTTTCACTATCAAGGAAATGCAAATCAAAACCATCATGACATACCTCCTCAGACCTGTCAGAATAGGTAGTTCTTAGTCATTTTCAGGAAAGCTGACAATGGATTCCTACATTGTCAGCGGGGTTGGACTAGATGCCCCCAAAAAAACAAAGAATGACGAGTGTGGGTGAGGATGTGGAGTAAAGGAAATCCTTATGCACTGTAGGTAGAAATGCAAATTGTTTCATATACTAGGGAAAATAGTATGGATGTTTCTGAAAAAAAAATGAACTACCATATGATTCAATGGTCGATTTTAAGTATTAGAAAACAAAAACACTAATTTGAAAAGACATATGCTTTATAAATTAATTGCAGCATTTTTTTTCACATTTGCCAGGATATGGAAAAAAAACTAATTTGTGAATAGGTAAATAGATAAAGAAAGAAGTTACACACACACACACACACACACAAGAATAATAGTCATAAGAAAGAATAAAATCTTGCCATTTGTGAAAACAGGAATGGACTTATTGTGTTAAAAGATATAAGGGAGACAGAAAAACACCAATACCATATAATTTCACTCTTATGTGGAATCTAAAAACAAAACAAAAGAACAAATGCCCCAGAAAGAGAATCATAGATACAGAGAACAAACTGATTGTTTGCCATCAGTCAGAGAATGAGTGTATGGATGAGAAATTAAGGGGATTAAGAGATACCATCTTCCAGTTATAAAATAAAACAAGGGGACATAATATACAACATAGGGAATATAGTCAATAATATTTTAACAACATTGTATGGTGATGGTAACTAGACATTTTGGTGAAAATTTCTTAATGTATCACTTTGGTGTACATCTGAAATTAATACAATATGATATGCCAGTTATTCTACAATAAAAAAGAAATGAATTGTTTATGAATAATAAGCACCAAACAAGACTGCAATACCCATTGTAAGCAATCTGCTAATGAAACTGATCATGTAACACTCAGTGATATTGCAAGAGAGAAAGAAATCTCACCCATTGTTCCAGCCAAGCTGGTTCAATCCATTACATGCATGTCTCAAAATATACAATAAAAAACTTGTCCTTAAGTAAAAGAATTTGACAGTACTTTTTGCTAAACATCATTTTAATTTCTTCTAGCAGTTGGGGGGCCTATCTGTGTTAGTTCATTGCTTCTATCCAAAAGAAAAAAAAATGGAACTTTCCTGGCACGTATGACAAGTGACAGAGACAGGAGTGCTATCATTTTTGCTGTTTCCATTTCAAACTAATAGCCATAGATCCTTAAGAAAGAAATATTTGAATGTCAATACTAGAACAAAAGATTATGTAGCCCTTTAAAGGATTTAAACCAGGCAAAATTTGTTTTTTTAAAAGATTTGTATTTATCCTATGGTTGCTTTTTATGCCTATACTATTGTGATACTCTGGAAAATTTATGTTGTATACATGATCTTACACTTATTTTCTAAAATGGGAAATATATAAATAGTATTGTATTTTTTCTTAACACAAAAACTTCATTTTTAAAAGTTTCAAATTATATTTCATAATAAGTTATATAATATTAAGTAATAAATGTTTTAAAGCAAGGAAATATTTGGTTGTTGCTATTAGAATTCTTGGTTTGTGTCTTCATCATTAAGTATTTAGGGGGGAATTTACCATTCACTCAATTCATTCATTACTGACTCAATAATTAATTATTGACTGACTCAATATTCTCATCCATTAAATGAGAATAATATTTTATAACATGCATATAAGGCATAAAGAATGAGATTTATATAATTTGAATTCCAATCATAGGCAAAGGGAAAAGCCAATTAAATTTTTGTTAATATCATATGACTGTAGCACATTGGCATCATGTCTTCTACTATCTCTTACACAGTGTTTTTGTGTATCCTTATTTTAGATCTGTTCATTAAATGGCTGCAGCTCACTGAGTCAATTAGCCTGGGCTACTTGTTTACCGATCAGTTGGTCACAATCATGCCTGTCAGTCTCAGTGATGATTCCATTGTTTAAAAATTACTTCCAGGGCAATTCCATGTGATAGGACCAAGAGCACCAGTCATTGCCTTGGTTGGGGAAGAGGCTGTGTTGTCCTGCCAGCTGAACCCATCAATGGATGCTCAGAACATGGAAGTGAGATGGTACCGGACTGATCCTTTTGGCCTGGTGCATCGTTATGGTACTTCCTGGAATAAAATAGAGGAGCAGAAGCCAGAGTACCAAGGGAGGACAGAGTTCTTGAAGGAGAATATTACCAAAGGGCATGTTGCCCTAAGGATCCATCGCATCCAACCTTCAGATGGAGGGGAGTATGTATGTTTCTTTGAAAGCTCCACATACTATAATGATGCAACATTCCAAGTGCTGGTCACAGGTGAGTCTCTGCAGTGAAAACTCTTACACAAATTGTATTATTATTTTTTTTCCATCAGGAGTCTAAAATATCTGTGTATATGGATACAGGTGGCTAAATCAATACAAACACTATGATGTAATGCTTAGAAAGTTAAATATGTAAAACTGATTAATCAATCCGTCCCAACATTCTTTGGCTGTAGTAAAAATATATTTGCATCTTTTCTCTGCCAACATCACTACTTTGAAGGAAAGAAAGAAGAGGGGTTATAGTAGGTACTATCTCAGAAGAGTCCCAGGAATGTATCTTAGTCTCTATTCAGAAACACAGAAGGAACTAAACAGAGGCAGAAAGAATCTCACCAGCCTGCTAATAGGCTCGGTTTTCTGCACCTTGCTGCTGCCCACTCTGGCAATAGTCCAGTCAAATGTGGTGTAGCTGACTCTCAGTATAACATCCTTGTTTGTTCAGATCCCTGCATCATTTTCCCCTTAGATCTCACTCCCTCTCAGATATTTTCCACAAACAAAACAAAACAACAACAAACAAACAAAAAACTATACTGCCAGAATGAAAGGTAAGGATCCTAATTCAAACACACACTGAGACTAAATCAGCATTTTCTCTATAAACTTTGTAAGGCCTTAGACTGAGTTCAGATGATGAGTTTCTGTATCACCTCCTTTATAATGGACATTAAGAGAAACTAACCCAATCCATCAGATGGAGCCAGTAATATTGACCTTCCTCCCAAAGGCAGGAAAATCTTCTCCTCCAGAACTCCGTAGCCTGTTTGCAAATGTTCCTGCCTCCTGTTTAGTGACAATTCTGCATATGTTCTAAGTAATCCTTTATCCACATTTATATAATAAATTATGGGTACTATATAATTCTTCATAAAATAAAGGCAGCTGTTGCGAAGAAACTTGCTTGCAAGACTTAAACACTTTTTTGAGTCAAAGTTTTTGTTGCCAGACACTTTGATCTACACATCCCCTAATAGTATTTCTGCTGAGTCAAGGAGAAAATAGTTACCTCTTTCTGAGATTCGTTCCTGGGTTTAGAGAAATCTGCATCTTTCTTTAAATTTTATTTATTTATTAGAGAGAGAGATAGTGACAGAGAACACAAATGGGGAGGAGAGGGAGAAGCAGTTTCCCCTGAACAGGAAGCCCAATGCAGGGTTGGATCCCAGGACCCTGAGATCATGACCTGAGCTGAAGGCAGATGCTTATCCAACTGAACCACCCAGATGTCCCAGAAAATCTGCATCTTTAGGCAAGCATACTGGAGTTCCTCACTGCAGGTCTCTGCCGTATGCAAGCAAACGTCACTCCCACTGGAGGCATTTAACCAGGCACTAACAGGGATGAATGAGAAATTAGGTTCATCCATTCACTGAGATATACCTTTAGAGCAGGGATCATTCACTCTACTGTGGTAACTTCTGAAGCAATCCAAGTGTTGGACATCCACTTCTGGAAGTCCTACAGACATTTCCTAAACCTTGGGTAAGCTCTTATCAAGGACTTTGAATTTGAGAACCGTTGCTACTGTTGCTTCTTCAATGAACAACATGTCATTTTTCAGGGTCATCTCAATTTTATCTCAGACTTACTTGTTCTTTGTACAGTTATCCTATCACTAAATAGAAAACAACTTTCCACTATTCTTCTATTTTACCCCAATTTCCTTAGAAGAATGCATTTCCTATCTTGAAGCTATTGCCACTAAACTCTGACATTGATTTTCTGCATGAGTTTGTTATCAGCTCCAACAATAGTTATTTGATACACTTCTAGAATCTACTTTACAATCCCTATATCTTGTAGATAAGGTTATCTGATACATCCTTAATTTTTCCAAATCATAAATGCAAGGGAAGTTGTATTGGTTACCCAAAGACAATTTTTTAAATTTATTTTTTATTATTTTTAAAGATTTTATATATTTATTTATTTGTGAGAGAGAGAGAGAGAGAGAAACAGCATGAGAGGGTAGAGGGTCAGAGGGAGAAGCAGGCTCCCCACTGAGCTGGGAGCCGGATGTGGGACTCAGTCCCAGGACTCCGAGATCATGACCTGAGCTGAAGAGAGTCGCTCAACCAACTGAGCCACCCAGGCACCCGACAATTTTTTTTTTAAATAAAATGAAGATAAAGCCTATGGTGATCTTCTTAATTTGCACTGTTGACATATATTACATCAATAGCCATAAATTCCACCCACTTTTTTACTATGCCCATAATTTCCCACAACATCCAAAGAAATTTGGTTCATGCTTTCATGTTCCCTGTGGGCAAAAGAAACATCTGGATTTTATATTCCAACTAAGTACAATATTTGCAGATGCAACCATTCACAGTGTATCCATGGGATGCAATCCAAATTAATGAGAAGAGATGTATTTTCAAATTCTTAGGAAATTGTATCTCCCTCTGGCCTAAAAAATTATAAGCTTGTATATAAATATTGACATAATAAGTGATCACAAATATGTTCTGAAGAATCCAGATGGTTAAAAGAAAAAGACTTCTGTGCTCCCTAAATATAGGGGGGTTGTACTTTAAATGTTTTCCAAGTGGGCTGTTTTTTGCTACAATTTTTTGATTATGTGGGAGCCATCTCATTTTGTACCTACTAACCTTAGTCATTATAAATCAGGAACATAAAGTCCTATGCTGATTTAATGCTCTCACCTCCTCCAGGTGAATTATTTATGACCTTGTGTTTTTCTTCCTGGGTAGGATTCACTTGTGTCCAACACCTATACCCAATAAAAAGTAGTGTCAATGTGTGGCATTAAAAGTTTTCATCTCTTCCAGACTCTTCCCGAGTCCTTGATATTCTCTAGCTGGAGACCTTAGGTTTTCTTCTGATTCCCTTAGTTACTGTAATTTCTGGGGTGCCTGGGTGGCTCAGTCAGTTAAGTGTCTGCCTTTGGCTCAGGTTATGATCCCAGGGTCCTGGGACAGAGTCCTGCATCAGCGTCCTTGCTCAGTGGGGAGACTGCTTCTTCTCTCCTCCCCAATTGTGCTCTCTGTCACTATCTCTTCTCTCTTTCTGCAATAAATAAATAAAATCTTAAAAAAAATTGCTGTTATTTCTGGCATGAATTTCTTTAATCCATTTCTCCCTTCTGGAAGAGTGATATTTGCCCCAGGATGAGTAACCAGTTTCTGATAAAGATGCAGTCTCTGCAGACAGGTCCACAGTTGTACACCGTCTCCTAAAGAAAATATTCTTCGATATCTTCAGTCAAAACAAAACCAACTCTTTCCCTGTGCTATTTAAATATCCAGGGGAGTGTGGGTAATATAATTTCTGTGAAACCCAGAACCTCAGTAAACACCAACATTAAATTCTACTTAAAATCAATTGCCCTCTACTATCTAACTAATTTGACACTTGCAGGATGCAGGTAAGCAAATCAATCAATTAATAACTATTTGGGCAACCACAAGTATAGCCTGCAAACACACCAAAATATTTTCTAAAAGATAAGAAATAAATATGAAGGTCTGATACTAGGTGGCATAATCAGATAGTCTCATAAGGATGGACACTATAGATTTTCTCTCCCTGCCCTGGCCATAAGACAATGAAAATTCAAGACACTTAAATGGTTGAAGAATGTATTCAGGTCAGCCTGTGCTATGTCAGAAACCAACCAGGCCTCAAGTATGCCAGTTTGAAATCCACAATAATAGGACAACCATCGTGACCTGGTTTCTTCTCCTGCTGGCAAACTTTTCTCCACTTTTACCCCTCAGTTTTGACTTGATAATGCAATTAGGTCATTAATAGCTAACACCACACTTGGAATACATGTTTTAAACCTCTGAAATTATCCATACACCCCACTCCTAATTCCCACCCTATTATTAATTGATGCTGTATCCAGAGGTTGTGTTTTCCCTTAACCCACACATTTAATAAGGTAAATAGGCTGGCATAATTTGAAGTACAACATCACTCCTCTTTCTCCAGAAAAATCAGATACTAATTCAATATTTATTGTGTTTCTACAAAAAGCTGATAAATATAATTTTGTCTTTAGAAAATACCCACCCATAATACCATTTCCCTTCAACTCTTAGAAGGTAGTCTGAATACGTGAAATGCAATGGGATGGCCTTTCATATTGTAAGATCCCAGCCAAAAACAAAACAAAACAAAACAAAATAAAAAACACCGTCTTTTCTTTGTATCCTTTATTGATTAACTCTTTAAGATGAATACTATTTATTTATTTATTTACTTACTTACTTACTTGTTTATTACAGCCCAGTAAGCAGTTTATATGAAGCAATCATTATACCAATCATATGACTTGAGACACTTTTTATCCTTGTTTTACAAAAAGGGGATTGGAGGCCGAAAGTGATTGGGTCATTAGTTACACTGGGTCACTGATGCCAGCCAGTACAAATACAACCTTTGACTCCAGAGCTTATCCTCACAACCATGATGCTCTACTGATTCTCAGAGCTATTGTATTCTGAGAATACCATTTATCATTACCAACACTGGAGGGACCAACGAGGTCATCACTGGTGTGGCATGCTATTTACTGCCTCCTCTGGTGTTTGTCAGGGTCTGGCCATCCATGCAACATCAGATGACATTAGATGATTTCCTTTCACCAACCTAATAGAAGGACTGCCATAACAAATTACGACAAATGGGATGGCCTAAAAACAACAGAAATATATCTTCTCACCGTTCTAGAAGCCAGAGTCCACACTCAAGTTGTCATCAAGATTATGGTCTCAGGGAAACATCTGATGAGAGTGTTTCCTTGCCTCTTCTAGCTTCTGGTAGCCCCAGGCATGCCTTAGCTTGTGCTGGGATCTCTCCGTCCTCTGCTTCCATCTTCACAGAGCCAATTTCCCTCTGTCTCTATGTCCAAATTTCTTTCTGTTCATATAGACCACATTCCCTTTGGATTAGGACCCACCTTAATCCAGTATATTTTCCACTTTACTAATTACATGTAGAAAATGGTATCCAAATAAG